CCTTCTCTTCCTTCTCCTTCTCTTCCTCCTCCTCCTCTTCCTCCTACTTCTTTTCCCCTTCTCTTCCTCCTCCTTCTCCTCCTCCTCCTTCTCTTCCTCCTCCTCCTCCTCCTCCTCCTCCTTCTCTTCCCCCTGCTCTTTCTCTTCCTCCTCCTCCTTCTCCTCTTCCTCCTCCTCCTTCTCCTCCTCCTTCTCTTCCTCCTCCTCCTTCTCTTCCTTCTCCTTCTCCTTGTCCTCTTCTTCTTTCTGGTCCTTCTCCTTCTCCTTCTTCTTCTCCTTCATCTCCTTCCTCCCCCTTCTCCTTCACCTCCTTCTCTTTGTACTCCTTCTCCTCTTCCTACTCATCCTCCTCCTCCACCCTCTCCTCCTCCATCTGTTCCTCCTTCTCCTCCTTATTCTTATTTGTCATCAATGCTCACCTGAGGATATTTTTTGTCAGATTTTTTAGAGAGAGAGAGGGAGGGAAGGGCGGGGGAGAGAGTGAGAGGGAGCGAGAGCAAGGGAGAAAGAGAGAGAGAAACATGGATGTGAGGGACACACCTTTGGGTTGCCCCCTGCATGAACCCTGACTGGAACCTGAGACTCTTCCGTGTTCCTGCCAATGCTCTAACCACTGACCCACCGGCGAGGGCAGCCCTCTCTCTTTAGGCTCTTTCCTCCTGTTTTCCTCTGTGGTGACTTCTTCACCTCCCTTCTTACTGATTTCTCTTTCTTGAGCACCTACTGTGTGCCAGGCTGTTTATAAGCATGGTCTCCCCTCCTCACACTTTCTCCTTCCCCTTCCACTCCTGCGGCCTCCAGTTCTCTGCTTACTCTCCATGTGCTCCACCTGGAAAGGGAAGGGGCACTAATTGAGCACCAACTGTGTGCTGGGCGATTGCCACTCACTGGGGCTTCTCCTCCCTCCCTCTGTTCTTCCTGCCCCTCCCACTCCCCCCCACCCCACCCCCAGCTTCCTCATTTCCCTGTTCCTTTCCTCTCAGCATTGCAGCGGTGAGGTTTTCCTGACAGAGGGGTTAGTTCTCCTGGGGCTCTCGGTGGGCACCGCTGGGCTCCAACTTCACTTCTTCTTTGTGGATAATGATAGCCACTGGGGAGGGGGGCGGGGGAGATCATAAGAATGGAGAGAGTGAGATAAAAAATGCTGGAATAGAACCCGGGAGACGGCAGTGCACAATGATGGGCACATGGGCACTGACACTTCCCTGGTCTTTAAGTCCTGAGTGCTCCCTCGCTCGCCACCTAGGAAGCAGGAGCAGAAACTGAGGCTCAGAAAGGGGAAGAGAACGGGCTCTATAGGTCTACTTGCCTCTCAACCGTGAACATCTGCACCGCCCTCCCCCTTTCTCCGGATGGATGGCATCTATTCCTCTCTCTCTTTCTCTCTCTTCTTAGCTCCATCTCATTCTCTCTCTTGCTCCTTCTATTTCATCCTTCCTCTCTCTCATTCCCTCCATCTCATTCTTTCTTTCTCTCATTCATTCTATATCATTCTTTTTCTAATTCCTCTCTCATTTGCTCTCTCATTTGCTTTCTCTCTCTCTCTCTCTCTCATTCCCTCCATCTCTTTCTTGACCTTTCTCTCTCTCTCTCTCTCTCTCTCTCTCTCTCTCTCTCTCTCTCTCTCTCTCTCTGTCTCATTCTTTCCCTCTCACTTTCTCCCTCATTCCCTCTACCATTCCCTCTCTCACTCCTTCTGTCTCATTCTCTCTCTCTCTCTCTCTCCTTCAACCACATCCTTTCTCTCTCTCATTCCCTCCATCTCATTCTTTCTCTCATTCCCTCTGTGTCAATCTCTCTCTTTCATTTCCTCTCTCATTTTTCTCTCTCTAATTCCCTTCATCTCATTCTTGTTCTGTCTCTCTCTCATTCACTGTATATCATTCTATCTCTCACTCATTCCCTCTGTCTAATTCTCTCTCTCTCTAGCTCTATCTCATTCTGTCTCTCTCATTCCATCACATCCTTTCGCTTTCTCTCATTCAGTCTCATTCTTTTTTCTCTCTCTCTCATTCCCTCCATCTCCTTCTTGCTCTCTCTCTCTCACTCCCTCTGTTCTCATTCGTTCCCTCTCACTCTCTCATTCTCTCATTCATTCCCTGTCATTCCCTCTGTCATTCCCTTTATCATTCTTTCATTCCCTCTGTCTCATTCTCTTTCTCTTTCTCATTCCCTCCATCTCATTATTTCTCTCTCTATCATTCCCTCTATCTCATATTCTCTCTCTCTCTCTCTCTCTCTCTCTCTCTCTCTCTCTCTCTCTCTCTCTCTCTCATTCCCTCAGTCTCATTCTTTCTCTCTCTGTCTTCCTTTCTATCTCATTCTTTCCCTCTCATTCCCTTGGTCTCATTCTTTCTATCTCTCATTCTGTCTCATCCTCTCTCTCATTCCATCTCATTCTCTCATTCCCTCTCTCGATCCCTTGCTCTCTCCTTCCTTCCTTCTTTCTCTCTCTCTCATTCCCTCTAATTCTCTCTCTCTCACATTCTCTCTCATTTTGCCTCTCATTCCCTTTATCTCATTCCCTCTATCTCATCCTCTCATTCACTCATTCTCATTCTTCCTCTCTCTCTCAATCCCTCTCTCTTATTCTCTCATTCTCTCTCTCTAGCTCTCATACTTTCGCTCTCATTCCCTCCATCTCATTCTTTTTTTTCTCTCTCTCATTCCCTTTATCTCATTCCCTCTGTCTCATTCTTTCTCTCTCCCTCTCTCATTTGCTCTATCTCATTCTCTCTCTCAATCCTTCTCTCTCTCATTCCCTCTCATTCTCTCTCTCTCATTCCCCATCTCATTATTTCTCTCTCTCTCTCACTCTCTCACTCTCTCTTTCATTCCTTCTCTCATTCTCTCTCACTTTCTTTCTCCCTCATTCTCTCTCTCATTCTCTCTCTCTCTCTCCATTCCCTGTGCCTCCTCCTCACACAGCTGTCTCCCTGGAACACCAGTCCCACTGTCCTCTGCTCACACCTCCTTCATCACATCCTTCTCATTCTCTCATCTCCTTGGGCCACTCCCCCTCCCCCTTCTCAGTGTCTCCCTATTGTCTGTCTGCCCCCCATGTCCCCCCTCCCCACAGCCTTCTCTCCTCCCGACCTGGTCCTCACAGCTTCTTCCTCCCCTTCCTCCCCCCTCCAGGCTCTGCACCAGGTTCACCCTCCGCCCGCCCTCCCCTCTGCTCAGTCTCTCCCCTCCCCCCTCCAGCCCTTCTCCCAGGTCCCTTCCTCTATAGCCTCTCACACCTCCCAGCCTTCCTGCTGGACTCTGTCCATCTGTCCCTCTCAGTCCCCCCCACACCACTCCTCCTCC